TTAATAATGTATCAACATTAAATTGTCTTATGCTTAGACCATCTCAAAAGTAGTGATTTCACAACAATATTACTCCATCCCAAAGTTCAGAGCAAAGTTTCTTTGCATATGTACTTGTAGTGTCAACAGTGCTCTATATTTCTTCATTGTATCATCATCATTCAGTTGCCATAATTATATTAAAAAATGAATGGCAAATATGCACACCTATTTTAGATGAATGAAGACCATCTTGGTTTTTATATTAATGTACTGGACATCATATTAAAGCAAATGTTATTCATAATGAAATATAGCGTGCCTTCAGCGACTAAGCTTAACCTCAGAGTGCAGTCATAAGATGAGCAAAATGGCTTCGTGAAGATCTAGAACAGCTTGAACATGAACCATGATCTGGTCAACCGATAACCGAGACTACATTCGAAATCATCGAACAAGTTCAATGTCTGGTTAATTGATGATCTTCACATTACTATTGATATATTAGAAGTAGAGACTAATCACAGTCATGACACGATCGAGCGAATAGTTTACGATCATCAGAAGCTTCAAACAAGATATTATTGTTTGTTCGATACTATATCAATTAACTGATTTTCAACGGGTTTGGATATGTCACGAAAATTGGACAAAATCTGAACTTGCTACGTGCCATTTATGTGTTGTAGTGACATGCGACGAATTATAGTTTTATCACAGATAAATTGACTGAAAATCGTTGAACGCTGTCTGGAAAGCAAATGGACAGACTCCACGACGACGATTCGACTCAGTTTTTCTTCCGTCAGCAACTTAGTTTCATATCTTCTTTAGTACAACTGAGGGCGTGTAAGTGTGAATGTTTTGTATTCATGTTCCACAGCCACACTCACCCACACCACACCCACACCCTCCCTCTTAATAACCTGCTAATAAATTTTGATAAGCTAATTATTGCATTGGATTATCTGATACAAGTAATAAACTTACATAAAAGAATCATAAAGACGTTTTTGGTTCAAATCATTGTTTACAATAATGATATTATTTTTAATAAATTTAAGATACTTTCTGATGTTTTTCTTGGTCATTTTCTTGAAAATCTTGTTATTGATATTTTATTCTGACTAAATAAACCTAATGATAACAAATAATCATTAGAAAAACAAATCATATATTATTGGAAAAAGTTTTTTTTGTTTTTTTTTCACATTCATTTGGAAAATGACGTCAAATTTGAAATAAATCTATACGATATTCTATATAATCTATTGGTTGTTCATTGATTTCATGTTCTTTTTTATCAGTATTTTCAAGGCTTAAAATTTGTCAATTCATCATTTATTTGTTCAAAAGAAGATTTTAATTTATGTTTATTATGGCTGTTTGAGAATGTCTAAGACTACGTAGTCATTGAATTCTGCTTCCCGATATAAACCATAAATTTCAACTCTATTCAATCGTACTAGCTACCTTGTATATATTACGATAGTAATAATTAAGCCATGAATGTTAATCGACTAAAATCTGGTTTTCAATCATTCTCAATATTATTTCGCTATCTTGTTTCTACTGCGCAAATAAAAAGAATGAATTTTTAAAAATTTATTATGAAAATTTTTGAATTAATGAAACACATTGCAATNTATCTTGTTTCTACTGCGCAATACATATAGGAAAGAGAAAAACAAACTTGAGCAATTATTCAGTTCAACATGGAAGAGAACCGCTTCTGTAATGATATAAACAAGAAAAGAAAAACAACTGACAGGACATACTGAAAAGATCGATGAGTGCATTTATCTGAAGATGAATACACATGAAAATGAATCTATTATAGCTACTTTCTAAGAAAATCGAATCTCCTTGAATGTTTCAATAGAAAATAAACTGATCTACGGTATCATTCTAATTCGAAAATGATTGGATATATAACAGTACTCAATGCTTTATCTAGATTTTCTCTTCTCAAGAGACAACTTAAAACTCTGGAAGAGTTAACATGATCTTCTGAGAAGCACTGTCTCCTCCACACAGCGTTGACTACAACAGTGACAGTATTCTTGAAATTAGTGGCCAAGTTAATTCGTTTGATACGTTTCTATGAGAACTATTTGTGTATTATCAATTTTAGATAAAGTATCTTGAATAAACATTTGAATCAATTCCAAACCGTTTTCAGTTATTTTTATCTTTGATTAAAAATGCCTTGTTCATTTTTAATAGATTAATTTTATTGAGAATAATTTGATCATTATCATTTGATAATAAAATCATATGAATTTTTTTCTTTCAAAATAATAGTAAAATCTACAAAATAATCAATAATTTCTTGTCAATCATTATTTTTTCTTGTTTCTTAATAGCATAATTTCGATGATGTTTGTTCAACAAAACGATAATAAATATTAATAATTTGTTGATTAATTGCAATGTGTTTCATTAATTCAAAAATTTTCATAATAAATTTTTAAAAATTCATTCTTTTTATTTGTTCTTAGCATTGTTAAAAATTCACAACATAAATTCATATTAATAATCATTAAATGATCAATAAATGATTGAAATCAGGGATGGCGAGTCAAGCCATTTTTCGAGTCGAGTCGAGTCAAGTCGAGTTACCGAGACTTCCGAGTCGAGTCGAGTCAAGTCAAGTTAATTTTGTTATTTTGTTTTTCTTTTCTGTTTATCTAGCTAAAGAACACTAACAATGAGTTTTTCAGAAGATGATGTCTAGTTCTTAGTTTTTATGCACAAAAAGAAGGAAATAATCCTACACAAGATAAAATGGTATAGCTACTATAGATTTATCAACAAAACCGAACATCAAGACGAACTCTTCTCTTAAATAGAATTCCACACCAAAATCACAAAAGCGTCATTTTTTATGAGCAAAACATGAACTTAAATCTGTTTACTAGCAAAATTTTACTATTTATATTTAAATTGTAGAAAAAATTTGTTGTAGTCGCAAAATTGTCTAACTGCGAAATGATCAACAAAAAACCTCAGTGTTTTATCGCCAATTCCACCGAAACATAAATTAATTAAAACAAAACAAGGTGTTCCAATAACTGAAACTTAACTTTTCTAATCTTATTCGATCTTGAATACGAGTGTAGCTTATAACAACTTTCTATACCAAGAGATACTGACAAGTCGAAACCGTAATTACCGCAAAAGCTAGTCGATCAATGTACTTACTACACAATACAAAAGAGAAGTTTTTCATTTGAACTTGTTCATCTCGAGATAGTGTTAAATTAGAGAATAAGTCATTTCTTGAACAAGATATGTCAGGTACTCTTGTGCAAAATACCTATACTACTTCATTCAACTAATCAGCGGAAAGTAAATTCTGTATTAGAAAACGGATAAATGGAATGTATTTTTATGTAATCGACGAAAAGTAAATCCTCAAAGGTGGAAATTTTATTATTTTGTAAAAGCGATAATTAAAATTGGAAACAACCTACGAAGGCAAATCTACAGAAAATAAATCGTAGAAACCACTCGAAATACTTTTTCTATTTGTTATTTTTGTTTTCATTTATGGTAAATTTGCTGATCAAAACACTAATTTTTTGATAATCATGCCACAGTTAGACAGTTTTAGTGATTAAAGCTCAAGTTTTTGGTGTTTAAAAAGAAATGCTTACTCGTATACAAATGTCTTTTTTCGCTTCACAGATAATCCAAAACAAAACAGAAGGAGACAATACATATATATACATCCTGTAATATGTGTAGACTAAGATTTAAAATCAGATAAATAAGTGAAATAAAGCTTTTGAAGAGAACGTTCTAATGCCGTATATTTCATTAGAATGAAAATTGCGAATCAGAAAAAATTTAGTTCTATATGTTGCGATTTTTTTATAAAAGCAAATGAAAATTTTTTCGAGTGAATGACTCGAGTCACACCGTCGAGTCAAGATCATCCGATTTCCGAGTCTGAGTCGAGTCCGAGTCAGTAAAAAAAGTGTCACTCGAGTCGACTCGAGTCCGAGTTTTGACTCGGACTCGCCCATCCCTGATTGAAATATTTCATAATTATAGTTATTCATTATTTTGATTATAATTTATTGCACGATAAATATCCATAAAACAATTCCAAAGTATTTCAATATATTGATTATTTGTATATCTTTAATTAATAAGAAATTAATTGTTTTAATACATGATTGAATTCGCTTTGATTTTTCAATTCATTTTTTAAAAAGATATGATAATAATGATTTAGTACATGAATAAAATGTTGATTGAACATTTGTACATGTTTTGCTAAGGACTAATATTAGACTTTCTAATTCATTTTTATCATGTTCTTTTCTATCAAATAAAAAATCAATAGATAACTGATAATTTTCAATTTTACGTAATAAATATGCAAATGATTCAGCTGCATATGAACGAATATATTCATAATTTCTTTTGTTAATGAATTTATTGATGATGATGAAAACAGATATTTCGAAAATAATTCATATAAATTAGCTAAATCTTTTAACTTAATAAACCATAAATATTTAAATAAATATGTTAGACATTGAAATATTTTATCAAGTAATTGTGTATTTATTTCATATCGTTATTGTTCTTTTTTCGAGTTAATTAATAAATCGATTATATAAATAAATAAATATTATTTATAATAGATATGAAAATCACTCTATAAATCACTGATAGAGTTTGTTCACAATTATCAACAACTTGTTCAGATGAATTTGCTGATAGAATAAGTTTCATATGAAATTTTGAACAAGCTTCACTAAAATTTCATGATGGCCAATGTTCAAGGGATTGATGATATACAATCATAGTTACTATTACGTTTGAAGACTATCTTTATTTTTGTATTATATTATTCATACATCCAATAAAAATACCTTGTTGTCATAACATATGTCATTGCTATAATATATAATTAGGTATAAGATAGACGTTCTTTTTCTTTCATTTACAGTCGACAATAATAACAAGCAATATTAATTTTCTATCACATACAATTACATTTCAAAATGGTAGCCAAATTGAAACTTGGCAGTAAAAGAGCTTGGTTCTACTGTATACGTCGACGTTCATCTCGACAAAGACGTATTATTCTCCGTCTGGCATCAAATATTGGTTCAATTATTCTTTTTTTCGGTTTTTTACACATATTTTTGACATCATCATTACCTCCCATAATTGATCAAGGTAAATGTCGCATTTCTACGATACTCTTATCTGCAAAACATCAAAATAATACACATGAAAGTAGAAAAAAATTAATAAAGTATGAATGTATCAATTAACAAGAACTACGGAATTTAACAAAATATACACGATTTTATCGCTCTTTACAGTATCCAATGAGTCTTCAGACAAACAAAAAATTGAATATCTCCACGATATTGTACCCAAATAAGCTAATATTTTCACCACTAATACAGAACTAATCATAGCCCATACTCATTAGAGAAATACTGAAGAACATTGTTTTCAAGTACGATAACTGACTTCGACAAATAAGTGTAATTTTTCATAGGTTATAAAAATAACAATATTGCAGTTCTCTCTTCAAATTCTTACTGCTTAAGGTTGAAAATTTCATAGTACATTGAGTAACAAGACATATATCTGTAGTATAAATATGAAAAGAAACGACACTAATCTGGAAAAGTAAGCAGGTGAAAAAGTAGATGAGCTGTTTGCTATTCGCTGAAGAAAAAAGTATTTTATTTTTTTGTAACTCATGAAAGAATACATGTGTTGGTTGACGTCAGTTATGGTACTTGAAAAGAATTTTCCTCAGTGTTTCTCATATGAATATGCACTATGAACACCCCGTTATCAGTAGTAAAAATATCAGCTCATTTCGTTAGATTACGGTAGACACATTGTCTAAGGATTTACTAGACGTCCTATGTATTTAAAAATAATGAAATTTGAGTGAAAAAATTTAGTATAATTCTTGTAGAATTAAAATATAAAACAAAATCTGGCTGATATTCTCATAAATATACGATTTTCAAAGTGTATCTTTCTAGTTATTAGTAGTTGGTATATACATAAATCAATATATATTCGTAACGAAAATAAGTTGTTAGTTATTTATAAACAAGATGAATGACAAACATTGTAACCTTCAATTTCGTTTGAATCATAGAGACAAATTAACGTGTGTGTGACGATCAACAAGGAAAGAAGAGAGTTAAGTCTCACTTTCCACTACAATGTTATTTTAATAAAATCGAAAATATCTTACTAGCTCTCATTTAACATTAAATAGATGTATACTACTTTAAACACATACTCAACTCATTGAAAGATATCGAACATGTTAATAAGAAGCATAATGCTTTGTGTATTTGCATTGAGTTATCAGAATATTCCGTTTTACCTTCATAAGTATTAATTTATTTTACATAAAAGAGGTTTATTGAAAAATAAATAGATATTAATTAGTTCATTGAAGTGATAGTCGTCTGTATAATATTCATTAAATTTTTTTTCATATAATGTTTTCTTTATTATACTAGACCATAATTCTGTTCATACATCATTTGATCATTTGATTCCATCAGATAGTTTTGATTTATTCTGGACAATGTGGAATACAGACGAATCAACATTTCGTGATCGTCGCTTACTTGTAATTGATTCACTCTTTATTCATCATCCACAAGCGACTGTCATTGTACTTTCGCCAACACTTAATGATACAAATTTATTTTTACCATATCGTCAGCGTGGTTATCAAATTTATTCTATTAATATATCTCTTGATCGAATGATTCAATGGCATTGGTATGTAGGTGATCGATCACGAAATTTTCTTATTCATTGGAATACATTAAGTACTTATTTTTATTCACATATGAATGATTATGTGAGAGGAATATCATTGTATCTTTATGGTGGAACTTATATCGATATGGATATATTAATTTTACAACCATTACCTAGACATGAATTTATTGGATTCGATCGATCAGATTCAAGTGAAAGTTGTTTATGGTGTGTTAAAAATACATTAGGACTTTATTTATCACCTAGTTTGATGCGTTTTCGTTCTCGTCGAAAAGTTCTTCGTGAAATTCTTGAAAATACGTTTGATCATCAAGTTTATAATGAATCTTGTTTTAATTGTGTTGGATCTAAAGCATTTACTGAACATATTATTCAACATCGAGATATGAATGATAGTCAACTAATTAATTTAAAATTCTTCGAGCCATTTCGTCTCTATCCATTTACATGGAGAAAAACACTATTAATATTTCATAATGTACAAAAAGATGCATCATTACAATTAGCTGATTTAATGATAAGAAGCTATTCACTTCGTTTTTTTGGCCATATCAGTGATCAATTTAGTATAGTACATGGATGTTTAATTGCTTTTCTTTTCGATCAATTAGATCTTGGTGTTGTTCGACCGAAAATTTTGAATCGAGGTGGAAAAAAAACAGTTGCACGTGTTATTCATCTTCCACTTTATATTTATACTGATCGAAAACAAGGACGATTTCTCGGTCGTGACGTTATTTATTTAAGAGCAGGTAAAAGAATATCTGATGAAAATGTGAAATGGAATATCAGTATTCATGTATCAAATGGAACAATCATTTATTCAAATACAAGTTTTCTATCAAATCTTAATCAAGCTCAAATTAATAAAATACTAAATGAAATATCATATCAACCATATGAATCAACATCTATAGATACATTAAATATTTATCTGACAACTAGTAAAACATATATTATTTCTTCATTGACTATTGTTGTTTTTTCTAAATGGGTTACCTTTCTCGTAAAAACAATGGAAACATCGGATCAATGGTCTGTAATACAAAGACTTGTTACAAGTGTGGAAACACATTATCCGCAAACGATTATTCATATTGCCAGTAATTTAGATCATCAATCTATTTATCAAAATATCTTACTCAATTTAATTTCATCTGATGATACTAAAGGATACAGTTCAAACAAAATTACATTTATTTATAATATTCCAGAGAATAACGGACAATCCATTTCTTATAATTATTTAGTAAATGCAACATCTACACCATTCTTTTTTCTTATAAATAATAATTTTACAATTGAAGAATATCCACATATTGATTTATTATTAGAATTAATTTATACTTATAAACATATTGATATTATTGCTGGACAAACATCAGAAAATATAGAAGAATTAAATAATTTTTCTAGCTTTTTTCCTGGTAACAATCAAACACAAGAATTACAACATGACATATCAGAAGATAAACAAGATCAAGACTTATTTATTCCATCATTTGATGATAAAGTTGATCCGGATAAAACAAATCCATGTCATCAAGTTGATTTTTTGCCAGATGTATTTATGGGAAGAAAAGAATCACTTCGTTCAATTGATTGGGATATTTTTTTTCAATCGAAAGAAGATGAAGATTTTTTCATACGATCCGATCAAGCTAGTCGAACTGTATACACATGCCAATTTATTTAAAGTCATCATCATCAAGAGCCATGATTAAACAAATTAGAAACTAAGTTTTTTTCGAACGATAAACAATTGTGCACAACTCTTACAGATAGATAAATAAAATTCAAAGAAATATCATTGCTCGTTTATCTTTAAAAAATAAAAGTCTAACGATCTTTTTTCAATCACTAATAGTGAAGTATCAGAGATGCACAACTCCACTTCTGCTCTGATAAGAAAAAGCATCAATTCTGAGTTAGAGTTGTCTATTTCTATGAAGTATCAAGAGACAATTGAAAATTTTCATATGATCTACTACAATTATCTGACATATACGTATATGGGTGAATTGCGCTTGTATTGCACCCTTAGCAGAAAAAAATCGAAAAAAATAAAAGTGAACATGGAAACAATTTGACTTGCATATTCCATAGAGCTTTATTCGTTGTACACAAATTGGATATTTTCCCAACTACCAGATTTTCATTTCAGAAAAAAACGAGCTATCTTAGTATGTGGATATTCAGATATTTGTTGACATGGCGAAATTTCTAAATTAGTATTTTTTACGTTATTGTTTCATATCAATCAAATTATTTTGGAGATATCAATCTAATGTTAAAGCAAATAAAAATAAACGAAAACATTTTGGCTGATGCACGGCAAGAAACTAACTCATTGGTGGTAAAAAAAACTAGTATTTTATGAATAATTTGTAGGATAATGGTGAAAAAGACTTTTTCTGTTATCTAAAATATTTCAGTTTCTGGTGTTGAAATCAAGTCAGAGGCAGCTCCTGATAATTTTTCAAGAGAATTCTTTGCGATAGCACCCAATCGAGTTTTCGATCTATCCTGTACCCCCCCCCCCCACCTACGCGGATGATAAATAAAACTTTTTGGATCCTGTTGCAATGGGATTATAGGTATCGATCAGAACTTCTATTAAAAGCCTTCACCAAATAAACTGTCAGATCATCATCAAGAGTTACATCAGACCTGATTGCAACATAAGACGCTGAAATATCTTTGGGAGCAGAAGAAAAGTCTTTTCTACATGTATCCTTTTTATGCAAAATACAAACTTATTTCATGATAGTAAACGAAGCAAAAGTCAGATCTCAGAGATACTCATAGTACGAGCACGTTAGTAAATATTCGGAACCGTCTCTCAATTCGAAAAGAGTAGATTAAGCATATAACAATAAGTACTTTTTTTCAGAATAAATATAAATAAATCTGTTGGAATATTTCCATATGAAAAATCTGTCAGGACATTTTTCGAGTAAGATACTGCTTTCTCATGAACACTGTATTTCTAAAAGTGGAAATTTTCATCATAGTTCTACCGTATGGTCTCCTAAAAATGACTAAAAAAATCCTAGCTTGATCTCTTGTAGTTACTGAGAAAACAAAGTGATAAAATCAAAAATCTGTTGGGACTTTTTGGAAAACAATATCTACTTGCCTCTGTTGTTTTTAATTTTTTCGAACCAAAGAATTTCTGACAGAAATAAGTCTCATCAAAAGATTTCTGATCCTTTAGTCTCTCGAATGCAAAAAATAAAATCTGAGTTTACTTCTAAATTGACTTTAATAGCTTCAATTCGATCTATCGGGACGTCAAATGTTCTGTTAATGTGTCTAGGCAATTTTTGTAATATGTCATAGATATATTGAAATCAAAGCTGTACTTAACTTATATAGACAGAAAGAGAAAAGTCTTGACTACAAATTAGCTCTAAGAAATTAATTTTCTTCAATGATAGTTATGGCAAAGAAAAGTAATTTTTTTGTTTCGGTAGGAGGCGTAAAAATCAGTGAATTTTCTCTTTTTTCCCTGAACATCTCTCACAGTGATATCAACCTGAAGACTTAAAAGTATATTTGGTAGATGGCCTAGACAGTAAGGATTTAAAAAAAAATTATCAACATCGGTTAAGTAGGAGCTGAGATATGAGTGTTTTTCTGTTGGCAACCCATCAGTACAATACGAGCGTAATTCATTCATATGATTTATGCATAATCAAGTTTTTATATGAGTAAAAGCTGGTAAAAAAATAATATCAGCAAGTATTCAAAATTATGATAGTTCTATTAATATGTTGGTTTGACTTTTTGCTTTGAATAACAATCAACGAGGCGCCTTAAATAAAAAGTAATTTATCGCCTAATCATAGAAACAAACTTCAACATCAGCAAAAAAATATTTCGTTTGCAAACAAAATCAACTTTTTGAAAAATATAACATGGTAAAACTCAAAAAAAGAAAATATCGAAACAAGTCAAAAAGAAATAATTGTGTCTACTGGCTGGTGAAAACTCATCTTTTGAGCCAGACTGGTCATGATTGTAACAAACTATAACACTGGCATTTGTAGAAAGCAATTATATATTGTCGTTTTATATTATTCGTGGTCAGAACAGAAGAGACTAACGGAAATTTTACATGATTGACATGAAGAGACTGCACTTTGATCGAGTTACTAGTCAAATATTTTACCATTTTCATTATATAGACTACTAATACTTGTCTTTTGAAGCTATAATTATTGGATGAATGAAAATATGTAAATACAATTAAAGCAATTCAATAAAAAGAAATTGGTTCGACATGTATGATGTTGTTTTTTCATTTCTGATTAAGTATTGATTATATTTATATTAATAATGAGCCAAAACAAGATATAATTGAAAATGAAACGGAAGCATCGGAACTTGTTTTTACATACAGAATAGAATATACTAATTATTATCAAAACAAATCTTTACTTAATATTTAAAAATGAAATATATCAAACAAAATTTTTCTATTCCTTTTTAAAATGCAATTCAAAATCTTGAAGAAACTGTTAATTATGACTGAAGTCTTCGTCAGAATGAAAACTTCCTATATCTTTTTTAGTAAATGTTCGTCTTCTTTTATTTTAAAGGCAAATTAAATCTCCAATAGTTCAAAAACGTAAATATTCATTTTAATTAAAAGAAGGAATTATTTAATATTCTCTACTAATTATCACATAAAAAGAACATCAAATAGAATGACTAAACCATTTTTACAATATAAATCTACTTATTCTTTACATTCAAACAGAATCTTCAATTATAAACCAAATATTTTTTTCCTTCATTTTCTAATAAATATTAAACAAAATATAATAAGTAGATGATTTAATTCATTCTTTTCAACATAATGCGAAAAAAATATATTCATTAAATATTGTATTTCAAAAAAAAATTTATATCATATTTTAGTAGTGTCTTTTATTCAATTTTTTAAAATAAATAAAAACTATTATTTATTTAGAGTAAATCTTCTTAACATGTCGTTTTGAGAATGCAAGGACTATTTATTTTATTATTTTTGCGTATGTAATCTTTGCCGCAGAAGCAACCAGAAACACATGGAAGAAGACAATATAAGTTGTTGTTGTTGTTGTTTGTACACGTTTGTGGACAAACTGTACCACATGTTTTATATAATCCATTGATTGTCTGACAACAAATTTCAGGTTTAACACATTGGCCATTCTCTCCAAGAACAAAACCCTTTCTACAAAAACACCCATTTCGACACACTGCTGAACAAAGTCGGAATTTTCGAATTGGATTACGTTCGTCATCACACGTTTGTGGACATGATGGTCCACATTCTTTATATTCTGCATTGGGATCATAACATAAAGAATTGTTACATTCTGATTCAGGAATACATGGACTACTCGTTTGATTATTCAAACGGATAAAACCATCCTTGCAGACACAACCAGGTACACATTGTTTAGTACATGATTGAGATCTAGCTGTACAGGTATCCGGACAAGCTGATCCACATTCGTTGAAGAATTCATTGACAGGACAGGCACATTGGGAACGTGGTACACATTTACTTTTATCATCGGTTTCACGTACAAAGCCTTTTTTACAAACGCATCCTGGAACGCATTGAAGTGTGCAAAATGTTGGTACATGTGTACAATTTTCTTGACAAGCAATAGCACATTCCTTGTACTCTTCATTATCAGGACACTGACTTTCTATTTGAATAAAGAAAAAGACAAATATAAATGAAAGAAAGAAACAATAAAATATGTGCTATTTGTCGTACCAGTAGCATTGATCACAATAAATAATAGCGCGAACGTCAATACAGAACTAATTTGAATAGTGATAATCATATTTTCTTTTGATTGTTATTAATCAATTGAATATATATATATATATGTAGTGTTTTAGAGTATTCGTGAATAGTAATCCTTAGATATACATCTATCTCCTCCTACCGCATAAATAAAACAAGAAGGAATGTCATGATGAAAGTTGGATGTTATTGATGAATAATAATGTAAAGAATAGTGAAAGAACCTACCATTTAGATACGTAAGAAGTAATCCACTTTGGTTATCATAATCATTATCATGGAAATAGTTGTGGGTAGATGAGAACACAATAGTTTATGAGTACAGATCAAGAGTCAAGTATTTTATTCTTATCAGCTTAGTATTTCATAAAATAACATAAAGACATGAGAAATCGAATAAGTACTTTTATGTTGAGATAAAGAACTGAGTAAGCTATCATTGCATAATACATTTTCTGCTGTTATGATTTTTACAGTTTGTTTAACCTGTCAGATAACAGTAAATGCGTGACATGATGCTACTTTTCAGAATTCACTATCATTTAATATCTATTATACATGATTAATATTTGTGTGATTTGCTCGAAGAATACATGCCTCAAGCACAATCTTTTGATACCAATATAATACGCTAATAATATTTTAATTTTTTGAGTAAATTTTACTATTTATTTTTATCGTACAAAACTATATGCATTCCGTTGAATTAGTAAACGAAGAATATATTTTCTGTATAGACGTAAACAAAAAATAAACTGTTCTGTCAATTAAGGATAAAGCCCGTTTCTTGATATGCTGATTATTTAAATGAGATTTCTCAGACCGAACTTTTGTGCTTGATAGAATAGAAGCTTGTTGTTTATACAAATATATATATTGAATAA